TGAAGGAATGGGCAGTTCTGGTTAAACATCAGAACAGGCTTATGCTTCTCTACCACAAACACCAGTTCAGAAGACTTGGAAGAGGTTTAACTGGAGTTGTGGTGGAATAGAAAGCTCAGTTACTCTTGAAATCCAGAAATGGTTGTGAAGGAGTGTAGAATAAAGAAAATCAGCAGCCTTGGATTCTTCTAAGCAGAAGGTTCTTACCTCATTTAAAAAGTTCTTTTTCAATTCTCTCATAATTCATAGGGTTGTTTAATTGGTCCAAAAGCTTTTCTTTTGACTGCCTTGTACGTACCTCTTTCACTGCTTATTTGAAAACAGATGGGAATTTCTTTGCTTATTTACTCCATGCATTTTTGCCTTTCCGCAGTGGATGATACAGTGGTTGCTATTCCTTATGGAAGCAGGCAAGTTCGCCTCGTGCTGAAAGGACCTGACCATTTATGTAAGTAGAAAAAGTTAGTGTATATTTGTTTAAGAAAGCCTTGCTAACCCCCAGTGCTCTATTTACACTGTGATATCTGGTTTCCTTCTCTCAGATCACTGATTTTAATACAGGTATGAGTCCTGCCCTCAGAAGTTCTCCTCGGACCCAGTTGTATCAGTGGTACATGCTCTTTTAAGAGCAGCACTTGGCGAACATTGCAGAATCCTTTGCCCCTTCTTAACTTTTCGGTCATTTCTGTTTGCTTATCCTTTGGCTGGCTCACTTGGTGCCAAATGCTTTTGTTCAAAATTAATAAAATATATCCCACTGAGTGAAGAAATATTGAGGACAGTAAAATATAAGCTTCCCTACAGCTGAGCTTAGTCATCAAGCTGCTCATGACTTCAACACGTTTCTGTTATGATAATCTGTCCCACTCCAGTAAATGCACACACATGCTCGCATGCACACACATGAAATCGCAGTCTAAAGATCAGAAACAACATGCTGCTTAGTAGTGAGGGTGCTGGTCAACAGCCAGCTGAATATGAGCCCGTAGTGTGCCCAGGTGGCCAAGAAGTCCAACAGCATCCTGACCTGTATAAGAAATAGTGTGGCCAGGAGGAGTAGGGAAGTGACCATGCCCCTGTTCTGGGCACTGGTGAGGCCGCACCTTGAATATTGTGTTCAGGTTTGGGCCCCTCACTGCAAGAAGACATTGAGTTGCTGGAGTGCGTCCAGAGAAGGGCAACGAAGCTGGTGAAGGGTCTGGAGAACAGGTCTTATGAGGAGTGGCTGAGGGAACTGGAGTTGTTTAGTCTGGAGAGGAGGAGACTGAGGAGAGACCTTAATCACTCTCTACAACTGCCTGAAAGGAGGCTGTAGCCAGGTGGGTGTTGATCTCTTCTCTCAAGTAATGAGTGACAGGATGAGAGGAAAAGGCCTTAAGCTGTGGCAGGGGAGGTTTAGATTAGACATTAGGAAAAAGTTCTTCACTGAAGAGGTTGTCAAGCATTGGAACAGGCTGCCCAGGGAAGTGGTGGAGTCACCATCCCTGGGGGTATTTAAAAGCCATGTAGATGAGGTGCTTAGTGACATGGTTTAGTGGTGGACTTGGCAGTGAGGTTAATGGTTGGATTTGAGGATCTTAAATGTCTTTTCCAACCTAAATGATTCTATGATATTGCTTCAAGGAGTTAAGACAACTAACTGCTGCTAGCCCATCATTTGGTGGCTGTAACACTTCCCTGCTTTGTCTGACAGGGAGCGGTGTATTCCAGCAGCTGTGTATCCCTGTTCTCTGGGAGAAGAGTCTCAGGATTTGACAATACTTTGGGAAAGCTGAAGGCAAATCTGTTTATTTCATGCATAGAAACTCCTTACATCCCTCTCTCTTACCTTTCGATTCAGTAGCTACTCACAAGCTGCTCCTTTTTTCATCAGCAGCAGATGAACACTAGAGTGTTGGTAAATGGAATATATTGTCAGAAAAAAGCATGAACTGTACTGCATAACCTCTCAGAAGCAGAAATTATTGTAAGATAAGGATAAAGAGGGCTCGCCTTCTCCTTTTCAAAAAGGTAATAGGACTTTGGTGCAGCATAGACCAATTAGAGTACTCTGTGCTTGTCAGTGTAAATACAGACATTAGTAAATACAAAGCAAGGAAGTGAAACACCAAATCATTCCCACTGTCTCCAGATTTCTTTCACCCAAAGAATTTATACTGAGTGTAAGTTTATCAGTCCTGTTCTGTAGCTCACTGCTTGTGATGAGAAAGCAGTGGGTGTGTCATAACCTTTTAACGGTTCCTCAGATTTAGAGCTGTGAATAAAGACCAGCAAATTACAGGTTATAAACTAAGAAAAAATATATTATGTTTTTCTTAGAAGTGCAAATGCTGCCTGTACTCCAGTTTTAAGTGGCCCTTTGGGTATTCCTGAGTTGCTCCAGTATGGTTGTTATTACCTTCCCAGTAAATTATTTGTACCCTTCCTTTCTCTCTAGTCTTCTTTGCCAGTATAGATGTTCACTTCCAAGGTAGAAAATTTTTGTACTTTTATTATATTTTCAGTGAAATTGTGCTATAAGACAGCTTAGAGAGAAATTAGATTTTAGCAGGAGAGATTGAGCTAAATCTGTCTTCACTCAGGCAATATCACGTTTCAGGACAAAAATATTTGAATCAGTAAGGTCTGCCTGAGTCATTGGTTGAGATTTAGATTAACTGCTCTGTGTAAACATGAATAAGTCCAAATACTCTTTTTTGTTTCAGATGTCTCCATGAATCTTTCACCCATCAAAGGATTTTATATATGTATGACCTACAATCAGTTTAGGGGAAGGGAGTATTTTGCCCTGTGAACTTTGGTTGTGGGAGAAGTCAACAGGGGGCCAATTATATATATACACGAGTCTTAAAACCATCCTTATCCATGATGCACGTAGTATTGTCCAGAAACAAATATATGGCCAAGTCCATCACAAGGGAAGAAACTATTCTCACTGAAAACCAAGGAATTCATTAACGCAGAGCAAATACGTAGTGTACTGCCTCAGCAATTTTTTCATGAATTAATTCCCATGAGCCACCCTCAAAAGAAGTCTAATTACTGAAATTATCTTTTTTCACCGTAATTAACAACTTAATATATGCTAATAAAAACATTTTTTCCATTTACTGTCTCTGAAAAAATGATTCCATCACAGACTAATAGTATATCCCCATCTAATTCAGATTTTGCCTTAGCTACCTCTCTGTGTGGGAGATTTTGTGCATAATTTCACAAATACGTGTGAAAGCATTATAGCTTTGCAATCCATCATGATGAAATGCATGGAAATGACTACAAAAAACAGTTTACTGGTGAACTTGCTGTAAAGCATAATCTGCAGTTGGTGACGAGGCTAGCTAGATGATGGAACAGATCTACTTTCTGACTGTTGATATTAATTTAAAAAATGATTTAATGCCTTTATTAAAAATTTGACAATCAGAAGTAACTGCTACCAAACAGTATCTGAATTAATGCCCACTTTTGGGGAGCTGTGAATGCAGAGAGAGACAGAAGGAGAGCTCAGGAGGTTTCAGCACTTGCCTTCCCTTCCTACTCCTCCGGGGTGGATCAGACTGCTTCTAGAAAGGAGGCAGGATTTCTCTTATACTGATCTTTTTCCTGGATGTCTTGGTTTCGGTTAATTGTCTACCACAGCAACATGTGGTTAGTGACCCACCTTTGAACTGAAAGAAAGAACAGCAATTTAAAAAAAGTCGGCACTCATGGGAGAAGGTCTGAGTCATGCTTTGCATAGGAGCATGACTTACTGAGAGCAAGTTAAAACGATAGCAAATACGTCTCACTAAGAATGGATTAATATGCCTGGAAGACAGTAAAAACATGACCTATGGGTGAGAAGGTGAACACAGAGCCAGAAATCTGAGGGTTGAACAAAGCCAAAAAACAGATGGAGGAGAAAAATGAAAATGAAAGTACGGATATGTGAATGAACTGTGGAAAAGAACAAAAAAGTTGCACTATCATTAATTTAGGGGGCAAATCTGCACCATCACTGTTTTGTGTTGGTTTTGGTTTTTGCTCTCACTTACTCTTACTCCAAACTGTAGTGCTCTAGTTTCCTGTTAATCTGTTTGTATTTGTCAGATTTGGAAACCAAGACCCTCCAAGGTGTGAAGAGTGAAAACAACCTCAGCTCCACAGGCTCCTTCCTTGTGGACAATTCTAGCATCGACTTCCAGAAGTTTCCTGACAAGGAGATATTAAGAATATCTGGGCCTCTTGCTGCAGACTTCACTATCAAGGTGAGGGTAATTGGTCATTGACCTCTTAGAGCAACATGAACTGAGACAAGATGCATTTCAAAGATGAAAGAGGTTTTTCTAGTTTTCAATTTTCCAGTAGACTTTTACCACAAAGCCTAGTCCAGGCTAGCTCTTGAATTCTACATGAAATTCTTTCTATTTAAATATCTGATGAAAGTCTCACCGGACACTGAGTTTATGCCAAGAAAGGCACACCTGATGTGTGCCCTAAAGAGAAAAGATGAACTCCTTACAAGAAAAGGCAGATTACCTTCTGTATGTGCTGCTGATGTACGTGTAAATCAAGGACATGCAGCTTGCTTTGTTTGTGGCAAGCAAATAGAAAGAAAAACTTGACCCATGATTTGTGGAGTTTATACTAGTGTAATTGCACATAAGACTGTAAAGGAGTGGAGAATGGGGTCCCTAAGTTCCAAAATAAATGGGATGACTTTGCTTGAGAAGTCACAGTGTCATTTTGAAGTTCTGCTTTGTGTTGCACTGGCAATAAGAATAAAATTGTTTCCTCCCATTAGAGCATTTCTATTCTTCCAGGTAATATAAAACACATTGCTAGAAGCAATGCACACATTCTACAGGAAAATGCACATACAAAAATGAACATTTGGGAATTACAATAAAATAAATCCTTTTCCAGTAGGTCCAAGGAACTTGAAGGATTTCAGCTGTAAAACTGTAAAACCTGTATCATGTCCAGGACTACATAAATTTTTCACCATGGGGCCCAGAGGTAGATCACATTTGCTTTAACCTAGAGCTGATGGCAGCTAGGAGTTTGAACCGGAAAATGTGAGCGCTCGGGTTAGATTAAGCTGGGTTGGGCTGCAATGGGTTATCTCAGGAAGCAGCAGAGCCCTGTAGAATGTCCCCTACCCATCTTGGTATGTTAGCATCACAAAAAGAAAGCTGAAATTATCAGGACTGGTTCACAAGGAGAAGCCTGACCTGAAGAATGCATTCCTTTCTCTTTGAAGGTCAGAATGAATATGCCTTAGTAAAACAGATGCTGGTCAATTCAAAATTTCTGAAACACTTTTACCTATATTACACATGATATCCAGATGACGACCATCAGTGTGATGTCAATGGTATTGCTCACTTTGCATTTTTTATGCTGCCTATGAATTTAAGACAGCCTGGTTAGTTAGAACACACCTGTCAGGGACAGCTTGTCATGTAGATCAATGGCCCTAAAATGATGACAGGAAGGTTGGACTATGTCCTTGGTGTTTCCACTATTATCTTTTATGACACGGAAAATAGCTTTATCTCTTGGTGCTTGCATTTCCTTCTCTATCAATGGAAGGTAAGAAGCTCTGGTTAAATCAAAGGCAGTACTCTACTTATACTATGTATGTGTTTACACCTTTTGAAAGTCCGAGTAGCATGGCTCAGCAGGTGTTAATTTATTGACATATTAATTGTCTTCAGTTGATACAGAAAAATGCACAAACAAAACCCCTGTGCGCAGGATCTTTTCTAAGGTTAGCATAAGATTTTGCCTTCTATCAGGCACTTAAAATTTCTATTTGAATTGCAGTTTGTTTTTTAATAAACAGCTGTAGAAGATACTTTAGATATTACTTCATGCAACAAGGATATTATTCTATGCTATTTAATTATTTTTCTAACAAATTTTCTTAGCTTCTGGGTATTTTTTTTATTAGATTTTATTGGATATAAGAGGGTGCATACAAATAAGGTTAATACAGCAGTAGAAAAATGCGTGCATACCTCTCAGTTATGTCAGACTTGGCAACTGCTTTCCATACTTACTATAGCCTTGACTATTTTGCCTTCAGGTTGTGAAGATAAAGTAATTTTCTTTAAAAAATCAGATGAAAGGCTTCTCTGTGGAATTAGCAACTTTTCCTTACAAAGTGGGATACCTTTGGGTGTCAAGATTTACTTTCCTGGGACAAGGCAGATTTTACACAAACAGGTCTAAATGAATTTGTAGATGTAGCAAACTCTAGTTTTAGGATCATTGTCTCCAGAATGACGCTTATAATCCTTTTCAGTTGACCCTGAATGCTCTTATTCAGAGAGGTCAAGTTAGACACTTGGATATAATTCATAAATAGAAACTCAATGTGGGAGCTGGTATTTAAGTTTCTGTGTTGGTGACATGGAGTGCTTTAAAATTGGAAGAAAGCTCATGTTATTCCCGTAGGAGCTGAGTTGTATAATTGACTTTGTAATGGCCAGTAGTACATTATTCGTCTGCTAAGCTCTTGGGAATCTTTTCACAAGACACGTAAATGCTAAAAATAATTCAGTAAAACAGCTCTGTCTTTAAAAAACAGGGTTTTTTTGGTGTCATCATAAAATAGAAGAACTTCAGTTTTTCATGTTTTTACTTTTTATATTCATAGTTTAAGAATTATAATTCTCCATTATAAAGTTTTAATATTTGAAAAGCAGAAGACCTGGAAAAGATGTCAGCAAACTTAAATTCAACTTGAATTTTGTTCCTAAATTCTGAGGATTTCCCTACTTTGAAGTTTTTAACACAAAATTCTGATGAACATGGGTAGAAATGGCTTTTTCCTAAAATGAAATTAAAGTCTTTTTCACCTGGAAATCTGTCTGGCTGACACTGTGTTCCACAGAAGAGAGAAGAAAAATCACATATGGGGACTTGTCCTTTATTGGCAGAGCTGCCACTGATCTGCTCTGTTGCCAAGGTCACATATTCACCTGTCTGTGCTAAAAAGTCTCCTCTGTTGATATTGTCTGTTTCAGACACAAAACAGAGAAACTTGGGAGTGACCATTTTGTGTCACACACCTGCACTCCTTTGAGCATGATAAATCTGTATTGTCAGTTGGGGTCTACAACTGGTAATGTAATGATAACAGTTGTCACTGGTCGATTATTTAAAGCAATCGGTACCGCAAATATGAACTACCTGAGTTATATATAGGCTTACTGAAACAGCTGGTACAGATTGCCAGGGAAGTGTTGGGGCTGGCAAAGCACAGCCTATTAAGGTTTGTTTTACATGCTGTGGTGTTTGTGTAGCTGGGGCCCTAGCCCTGTGGCTGAGGTGTGAGGCAGCAAAGACCAGTGGGCTTAAAACAAGGCCTAATAAAGGGTGTAGTCGAGGCTTGGGGCTGGTTTGGAGGAGAAACCACTGTTAGCCTAGAGCTAGACTAGACTAGGTTTATGTTGGTTTTCAGTCTCTGATATCAAGATGAAGGTTTGCTTGTAGGGCCAGAATGCACCAACAGCTTTGCATCAGGAATGTGTAAGGTTGGATTGGATTGGATAAATGTTTTTCTGGAGGCTGTCAGAGGTATTTGGGTTAGGATTGTATTTGTATTGATGTTGTCTTTTGTAATGCTAGGGCTGATAAGCTTTGAGTAAGGGTGGCTGTCAGAAGAGACTGCCTGGCTTTTTTTTTATGCTGGTGGCTGAGCTTACTGCTGGCTGATTTAGAAATGGTGCAGACTGGTTTCCCTTGAGCAGAGTTACTGCGAAGACTAGGATTTTGGCCACCAGTTGTCAAAAGCCATATGGTAGAACTCAAAACTGGATGCCAAGTTATGCAGAGCACTAGAGCTAGTCAGACAATTCTTACCTCAGTTGTGATCTAGCACTGGTAGAATCTTCTGGTGAGAGACATGCATTTGATTAGAGTCTAGATTAATGAAAAAAGCCCAAGGCTGAGGCCTAGCCTAGACTTCCTGGAACTTGCAAGGGCATGCAAGAGATAATGCATGTACAGACAGCCAGCTGGCAAAGACGTTGACAGGCCTTGTCAGGCTAGGGCCAGGATTGCACTAAATAATCACTTTTGAACCAGGTGCATACAGCGATTTACCTTGGGGGATGAAATAGGGAATTACTTTAATACTCACTTTAGAGCAGAGGCCAAAGATGCAAATCTGCTCTAGCACTACTGATTATGGCTGGCTTCTTTTTGGATTCTAGAGATATTAACATATGAGGATTGGGCGTGATGACAGTAAGGGTCTTCTGTGTAATTTAGTTCTGATGCTGGCAAAGGTTTCCAGAGAAGATTATACCTCATATTTGGGAAAAAGCTCAAGGTCAGGCAGGAAGTGATGAAGGATGTAGTCTTGAAGCACTGGAAGATCAGGGTTAGGATAGTGCTCCTTGGAGCAGATGAGCTAGAATTAAGGCTGAGCACCCAGAAATAGTAAGAGTTAAAGTTTAATTGTGACTGAGTCAAGTTTCATTTTATCAAGGTCAAATGACTGAAACACTGCTTAATCTAGGAAAGACCATTGCAATATAGACCCTTCATCATAAAAAAATACTATTTCTTGATACATGTGTCTTCCTGAGGTCACTTCTGTAGAGTGCAGATTGGACTTAGCTGGAAGTGTTTCTGTAACATGGTCTATATCACTGGCTTTTATCAACCTGTATTTTGCATTTAGGTTTTTTGGCAACAGTCATAAAAATTCTGATTTCCTGATTTACAAAAAATATACTAATGTTGTAATAATTTGTAGGTCAAACTCATAAGTAATGACCAGCCTGAAAAGAGACCTAATCATGATTTATCTTGACTTAATCTTGTGACAAGTACAGAAAAATTTTATCCTTTTCCTCCTATTTCGACAAATGCGGTAAAATGTATGGAAAGCCATGTAGTAGTCTTTTTGAAAACAATGTATAGATTCTATTTAATATCTACCTTTTTTCTGTTCAATATAAATTATTTAAATTAATATTTCTTAGAACATAATCCATCTCCTAATCAACACATTCCTTCTGTAAGAACATTGGAACTGCCATACGAGGTCAAGTAAAAAGTCTGCTTCATTCAGGTTTCTGTTTCAGAGAAGAACTGGTTTCAGACGCTGAAAGGCAGTGAAGAAATAGATCAAGGTTACATTCTGCTTTTAGACCCTCCTTCTTGACCCTCATGTTGCATTTGGACTATTTTGTCTAATGACTCAAATGAGCCAGTCTTCAGGAATTTCTGTAGGCCCTTTTGTGCTATG